GACCCTGCGCGCCAGGCCGCGCTCACCCGAGCCCGCCAGACCAGGCCGCGCTCCAGGCCTACCAGGCCTCGCCTGCAACCCTCGGCGTCCCCGGCCGAGCCCAGCCGAGCTCGCAACTCGGCCTCGCTGAGGCTCCAAGCCCTGGCGATCCCGACTTCGCAGGCGGCCTCAGGGCCCACCGCGCGGCCACCGGGCCTCCCCAACACATCGCTCAGAGCCTGTCAGACAGGCAGACAACCCTCCCCGTGCTAGTCACCAATGTGCTCCGGCAAGGCTTCCCTCGTTACCCACTTTCCTTTCCCCTCTTTATTGTGTCATGTCCTTCAACGTGTACTATTCACATGTTCTCTCACCAAGTGAAGAAAGAATCCTCTCTACCCAATTTTCCCCCCAGCTTCTGCCTCATTTTTCTGCTCCTCTTTATATGAACACTCTTTAAGAGAGATTTCTATTCTTGCTACCACCAATACCCTCCCCCCTCAGATACTCCCCCTTGTGCCCTGCACTGGTTGTTCCCTGAGCCACCTCACTCCTTCAGCTCCAAGTCTTTGCTTAAATGTCACTTTCTCAGCGATACTTACCCCCATTTAATATTCTTGAACACACACTCCTGAGACCTCCAGCACCCGACTCTCCTTCCTTTTTTTACAGCACTCATCACGTTCTAGTGCAGTACCTAGCCACTGTTTGTGTTTGTCTATCCCCCACTCCACTATTAGTATGTAAGCTCCACAAGAAAAGGGATTTTTGTCTGTTTTAGTGACTGATTCATTCACGTATTTGTTATAAATAAATAAATGAATACTAAGTGTTGGCTGTTTCAAAATATAATTTATATATATATATGTGTATATATATATATATATATATACACATATATATATATCTTTTAAGATGTGACTTAACCAAGTAAATCAGAATAAAATATACTACAATTTACTGAACCATCCCCATACAGTTAGATTGCGCCAGCATATTTGCCACAGTTACCAATGCTACCAAAAAAATACATCTTGTACCAAAATCTAGGTACAGTGCTAATTCCTCTACTGGTAGGATTTACAAAAGTAGGTTATGGGAATACAGGCTTTAAAATTTAACAGGTATTGCCAGACTATCAGGAGAGACCGTAAGTAAGACAAAAACATGAGTCATACCTAAAACTCAACCAGATTATCATCTTAAATATCCAAAAGAATTATATGGTTTTAAGAAAAGGAAAGAATACAGGGTTTAAGAGGAAAAGAGACTTTCACATCTTAAGAGTCAGAGATGCAAAATTCAATCCAGCGATCAACCTGGAGATGTTCTAGGTTTCTCTGAGTGCACACAAGAACTGAACAATACAAATGTCATCTGAAGTCAGGGGCCAGCTTCCTTACAGTAAATGAAGGCACCTGATGCAGTAACTACAACGGGTCCTACCCAGGTCACCAACAAGAAGCCGGTCAGAATCCCAGGCTTTGGCAGTAAGTAACCACAATTAACACTCTTTCCTGGTGGGTATGTTACCTCAGTTCTGTGGCTGGTAACAGGCTTCCTGAAGTAGATCTACATAGCTTTTAACCCTCAGAAAGATTAATTAAATTAAGACTAAAGAATTACCATTTGGGATGGCAGAAGGAATGTGAACGTATTCGATATTTTTACATCCTGGCAATGTTTAACGTTATGACTCCAATCAATCCACAGGTTGTAATAACTGAGCAACTGATTGACTCTTGTGACACAGTATTAGAACATCTAAGAGAACTCCAGACTTATTATATTCTAAGCTTAAACTGTGGAATTTATAATTATTAGTGCTTAAGTTCTAATTGTCAGATCAGACATATGAAGTACTTTAAAAGGAAATCAAATAAGTAAAATGTAAAAATCATTTTAAATTGTGGCAAAGACGGTTCAACTAGGTTGCAACTGCTGTTCATGGGTCCCATAAAAATGACTGCTAAACTCTGTCAGATTTACATATGGAACAATACCATTTGCCTACAGAAGAACTAATCTATGATTTTTTTAATCAAAAATAATGTAGTATTGTTTAAACCAAAGTTGAGGTCTTAATATTCATTTCTAAGTACAAAAGCAGCCTTTGTGGGCACCATAAAGAGCACATCAACAATTACCTTCCCAAAAGAGTTACAGAAAACCATCTTACCTGTAGCAATACAGGCATGTGCCCGTTTCTAGGCTCCCTGCCAACACTCTATGATTCAACCATTTAAACTTCTGCCAATTTGATAGAAGAAAAATGAGATTTCATTATTGCTTTGATTTGCATTTACACCTGGCTTACTAATGAAGTTGTACTGACCATCTGGGATTTCTTCTTTTGTGAACTGCCTGTCTTCCGACTTTGCCATTTTTCCTTGGGTTGTCTGTCTTTCTTATTATTTATTGAGAGAAGCTCCTACCTCCCCTAGATTATTTTTCTGTTTTGCTAGGTTTCTTCCCAATGTTCTATTGTCATTTTACTTTTAATTTTAACTGATCTGAAATTTCTGTTATAGGATACGAAGGAGAGGTCTAAAGCAGTTTCCTAATGGACAAATAGCTAAATTACACTCCAACTTTTGGTTATACTTAAGTTCTCATTTATTTTTGATCTACTACTATACTATCTTTTCTGTTCCTCTCATCTATCGGGAGCTCCAGTTTTTGTGGCTGTTTTCAAAATTCACATTTTTCCCTTTCTATCACGTTCATAAGTTACTTTCTCAGTTGTCCTCTCACAGCCAGGAGTTCGGATTTCCCATCATGGTTCCCATTTTAGCTATGCAACTGTCCAATGTGACCATATGACTCACAAAGCAACACGGCCCAGAATAAGTACCCAGGCTCTGGAGTCCACCTGTCAACATTTGAATCCATAATCATGCAACCTCTGATAAGCTCCTGTATCCATTTTGTGCTCCAGTTTCTCCATTTATAAAAATAAGGGAAAAAGAAGTCACCTACTTCAAAAAGTTGTTGAATGAACTAAAGATATTTTACTTAAAAAACATAATGCCTGGCACATAAATGCACAACAAATTTAGTTGTTATTTAGTTATGAAATCAAATTTATAGTAACAAATTCCGTTATTTCTATTATGTAATACAAACTGGCAAAATCAGATCTGATTCAAGATTATCTCTTTGCTAGTGTAAGGTCATTCGCATTCATTCAAACTAGTTTGCTTTCTTGAGTTGAAGAACAGGACAATCCAGAAAGTATCCATCATCTAGCACACCTTTCTCTCCCTTTGGAAGTGTGGAGCTCTGGGAAAAGTATCTGTGTCATGTGTGTCTGGGAGTAAAATGAGACTGGAAACTGCTAGTTTACATCACAGTCAACCTGTACCTTAGCTTTTAACTCAGCTAGTTACCTCTGGCCTCTCCTTTAACCAGCCTCTCCTATTCCATTGGGCCCAGCTTTCTAAAAATGCATTTTACCAGATCACCTCCCCCATTACTGTCACAAAGAATCTATAATGGATCCACTACCTACATCTCAGAAAAAACTCTCCTGCCTGGCTTTCAAAGCCAACCCAACTAGGTCATTCTCAAATTTTGTCCAGCCATGCCAACTTCACAAATCATCCTCCTAGTGACACTTGCTTGTCTGCATCCGGTATCCATCCATTACACTGTACTTTCTCATCAGCCAGAAATACTGTAGTCAAATATTATAATAAAGTCAAGAGGAAGATTCCCTTTACTCTTTCTGAAAGCCTGAGTAACAGTGACCAACAGGCCCACCTGTGGCCTCCCTGCATGAATCATCAAAATAGAACAGCTGTAAGTTGGCCACCTCATTTGCACGTTTTTAAGTAGATCACAAAGACCGGGTTTAAGAAAAACATGAGAAAGCAGAGCCATCTAGGAAACAGCCTTCTGTATCAATAAGTACAAATGTACATAATTCTTCATGATTCTTCATGATAATTATTCCACTAGATGGAAATAACCTAATTTGATCTCATGTTGGACACATGTAAATTGTTACTTTTAACCACGATAAAACAGAAAATGTATATTACATATTATAAGCATATATAAGCACATGTGTAGATAGCTATAGTCATTTTTACAAAATTGGGATCCTGTACACCCAGCAATTTAAGGGTAGTTCTACTTACCCACGGAATGATAGCTGCTCGCCTTCAAGTCGTGCATACAAACAGCACTTGATGGTCCACACTGGGCAATATCCACGTTTCCACAGATGCTGATCTTATAAAGCATGTTATTTTTGGTATCGACAGCTTCCCATGTATAACTAGAAAGGAAGAAAAACAATTCGTCACTGTCACTGATCTGCCAATAATTAAACTTCTCCCCCTAGTTTCATATGCAAGCCACATTTACTTAAAACTACCACAACCTAGAAGACATACTTTCATTAGCCAAAAATACTAAAGTCAAGCTATGTTAAGTTGAATAGAAGCCAGGACAGAAACCACTAAATACCACCTCACTCTGGTTCAATCCGCCCTGAAGCTGCCTGAAGATTGACCACCATCAAAATACTTAAAAATTCTACAATGTAAGAATATCAACTCTTATAGGTAACTGCTCAAGAATCATGTTGAATATAAGATAGTAACCCTTCCAATCACACTGGAATGCTGAAAAGCCAAAGGACTATTTTTAACTTTATGTTATATAAAAACGAGTTATGGCATGAAAGACAATTCTCTTTGGTTTTACCTTTTACGGCTACAGTTCAGATCCAAAATTGACAAGATGAAGTTGTGCGATAAATCAACGATCTGACTCAAACTCGGACAAAATTTACTCTAGCTTGATCCACTCCATCAAGCATTTAACATGCATTAAAACTCACTCTCCGTTCAAGCCTCTGGCAAAGTAAATACTGAGTTAATTGTTCAGGAGTCAATCTGCATACTTGGGACAAAATAATGGTTTGTCAGTTCTGTCAAAACAATTATTCTCAATTCTCCACTCTTCCTGGGGAGAATGTTTTGTCCGTTTTGTAAAACAGGGGTCATTTCCTCAGCAAGGCTAAAGACAGGAAATGAGGAAAGTAACTAAAAAGCTCCTTGCAAAATGCAAAGATACTGTATTAATTCAACTGCATTGCTGAAGAGAAGTTAAATATGAATTGCTTAGGTTCAGCCCACTCGGGAGTTGTGGGGGAGGGCAGGGGAGGGGGGGTTGCTAAGCCCTGAGACCAAGCAAGTGTAGGAGTGTATCTCCCCAAAGCAGTACCACCTTGACGGTAGAAAGTGCTGGCTCACGGAAGTAGCAGTGCTCTTCCCAGAGCCCCCCTTCCCCTGGGCCTCGGGACAAGGACACACACAAAACACTAGGCAACATGGCTCTCCCTGCCTAGAGGCAGCCCTCCCCTCCCCCTATAGCCCTGTCCAGTAAGGGAGGAGCCCCAAAAGTGGGGTTGTTGGCAGGCAAGGAGCCAAGCACTCTCCTGAACCTAGGCCTGGGGACTGATCAAATTTACCTGCCAAGAAGCAAAGGGACATAAGCACACAAAAGCACTCAGGCAGGGTGGCAGAATGCTCCCCTAGTTCTGACAGCCACGGCTGGGAACCTGAAAAACAGGCTGGTGTGCTCCAACAGAGCTGGCCTTGAGGTAAAGCCAGGCTCATAAGCAGTTACCACTGAAGGTCGCTTCTTTTTTCAAGCATAATTGATACACAATGTTACCTTAGTTTCAAGTGTGCAACATAGTGATTCAGTATCTCTATTCCTTCCGCTAGGTTCGCCACAGTTGCCATCTACCACTGTACAAGGCTATTATAATACCACTGACCATATTCCCTATGCTGTGCCTTTCATCCCCATGACTCGTTCCTTCCGTAACTGGAAGCTTGTACTTCCCACTCCCCTTCACCCATTTTGCCCATCCCCCTACCCCTCTTCCCTCTGGCAACCACCCATTTTGAACTCAGCTTCTTTATCAGTAACCCCTTAGAGTTATCTCCTAAAGGCAGGAAGGCTAAAGGCAAAAGAAAATAACCCAAGGACCACCGGGCATGAGAAAGTCATCAATAAAGGCCTGTTTCCTTTGACCTTCACTAACCTTTATTCATTTGCTTCACAAATATTTAAGGACTTCCTGCAGAGGAATTCAGGGGTGCAGCAATGATCAAAGCAGACCAGAAAATCCGTGCCCCCCAGGACTGCACACTCCGGGGGTGGGGGGCGGCGCGCGCAAGAAAATAAACAGGTAAACAAATTCACATACTAGTATGCTGAGTGCTCTAGCAAAAACGAAATTGTGCGTGCTGGGAAATGAACAAGGACCTACTTTAGATGGAGTCTTCTGAGATAGTATTTGCCCTGGGACTTGAACAACAAAAAGGAGCAACTCAGGGGAAGACATGGTGCGAAGAATATTCCAGCGGATGGACTAGCCACTGCCACTACTAGGCCCTGAGGAAGGAATGAACTTACCAGCACCCTGATGGAAAAGAGGGCAGTGTGGCTGGAGCAAGGTGGGGGATGGGGAAGGCTGGCTACATGGGGGGCTTTGCAGATTCAAGGAGGCAGTTCTGATTTTGTGCTTGAAACAAAGGAAGGCCACTCAAACACACTATGGATCTTTCCTTGAAATTTTAAGCTAGTGTTTTTATTTGCAGAGTATTAGCAAAACTCTTCTATTAATTACAGTTAATTAAAGAAAAATGCTAATCTCTTACTCAAGAGCCATGACTATGTTTTTCTGGGGTACTAGACATCTAATCTAAAACCTTAATAGTGGCATCATGAAAGTGTTTTGCAATCCTAAGTATATGAGAGAGCTATATATAGATATATTTTAGAATGAATCAACTGCTAGGAATCAACTCTAAAGAAATCCCCACAGTATCTAAAATGCTATACTTTTCTTAAAAACAGAAATCCACTGCTGATTTTGCAGAGGTGATATTTAAACAAGGTAGTTGTAAAGAGTGTGTGTTTAGGGAGCAGAAAAGAGATGGAAAAAAGGAATGTGGGGAATATTGTCTTGATTATCTGGAAATCAGTGTCCCTAGAAAGAAAAACGTTGCTCTATTCGATTTTCTTTTCTCTATTTGCATTTCATAATTGCTTTGTCAAGATTTATCAAAATGGTAAGTGGTTATGGGAGTGAGGAGTGATGAGGATCCTATGAAAGTATTTGAGTGCTGGCTTTTTTCTGGGGGTTGATATAACCCCTTACCATACGGCAGCCCCTCCAGGCTGGCACCTTCAACACCACTCACAATCCCAACCTGAAACAGCTGGTGTAGGGACCTTCATCACATCACCTAAAAAGGAAGGAATGACCGCAGCATGTTTCTAATCTATACTACACCAAACCTCTGGAAGAAAATATTTGCAAGCTGTGTAGAAATGTAGTGTACGTACACACACACACACTCACAAGAGTGCACACGTGCACATTTGAAATGTGTCCGCAATAAGAAGATCTCCTGCAGCAAGATAGTATGAGCGCCCTGCGGCATTTCCTTGAATCTCTAACTCTCAAACCAGTATTAAGTCTTCAGGTCCCTGCGGCCCGGAGGGAAATGACGGGGCACAAGGAAGTGGGACAGGGAGAACCACAAAGGCCCGAGGAAGCAGTTGGTCAATGGGAAACAGCACCCAGCAGCCTTGCCCACTGTCCCAGCCTTGCGAAATTCGGCCAACATCCTCAGAGGAGGCAGCCCATTCCCAGTAGAACTGCTCTTCTGGAGGCACCATCTGTGTGAGAACCTTGGCTTTGAAAATGAGCAAAAGCAAGCAAGATCCCTGCCATTCTACCCCACTTTCCAGAGTGTAAAGCATAGTAAGCCAATGTCCCCCTCCCACTCTCAAAAAATCCAAATTCATTTCAGTACACACCTGGCGCTTCTAGATACACATGTAGACCCAGTAAGTCCTCTGGACCCACAGCTGTTACCCCAGCACTCCTGGCATGGCCCACACACAACGTGGGTCTTCTTAGGCATCCCCAGCCGCACAGCTCCCGGGGGCAGTCACAGCCTCCCCCACCCCCAACACAGGAAGAAAGCCAGGGTGGGCCAGGATGGCAGCACGACACCGCTCTCCCAGCAAAGCCACCCTTCTTCCACCGTCCCGAGTACCTCGGCCCGGGAGCCAAAGATTCCCAGGCTCAGAAGATCAAGCCCCTTGCCCAACGTCAAGGAGTTATGAAATGTACCAGGTCCATCTGAGCTCCAAGGGCAAGTGTTTAACCACCAACGTGAACTGCCTCATTTATTTTCAATTCTTAAAAAGTTTTTTTTAACTTCCCAGAAAACAGTTTCAATTACAACACTGCAACTGACAAAACAGTTCACAGAACTTAGTTTAAATCTTGTCACAATAAATGCCACTAAAATGACAGATCCCGCCTGCGTGAGCCAATCCACCTGAGGATGGCCCCTGAGGAAACGCCGTGAACCTGTGCAAGATGCAGGCTGCCCCGTGCCACACTGCCCAAGAGACCGTAACTTTCCAAACTCAAGTTCTCCTCCACATTTTACACTTCCTGCTGCTCTCTACCCCCATCCACTTCTGCTGCTCTTTTGCACACTTTTGCACACCAAAGGTGCCGCCTTCTGCAAACTCTCTTCCCTCACCCAGTGGTATCACTCCCCTTGGTCTCCTTCCCACAGCTGCCCTCGCCCCCCCTTGTGGATTCAAGCTGGTTGAGGACTTCACTGAGAGGGACACTCATCTCTGACTCACTCTCCTTCAAAATGAGTACTCAGCTCGGCAGAGAGCTGCCCTTCGATACCCCAACCAAGAGTCCCAACAGTGTCACCAGTAACTGGGAAACATCCTACCATCACTCCTTCAGATCCGGTGGGGAACAGGGGAGGGGGCAGAAGTCACACACAAGGCAAATGACTTTAAGACATCTCTGATTTTAAAGTGAATTCTGCTCCTGAAATATGCCCTAAACATGGACAATTAATTTCACCATAAAAAGTGAGCACACAGGCCAAGTCCTTCCCTTAAAGAAAGCTTAAAACTGTCGGCCCCTGACTGCAAATCCCATGGCCTCCACTGAGAGTGGCTTGAACTACCACAGTCAGTCCGTGTCTGTTCAGTGGCACAGAGGTTCCATTTTAACCTCATTTGGTTTAAATTTCATAATATCCTGAAAGGTGTTGGCAGATTCCCAGTGAGAAGGAGGCACACAAGAAGCATACTGTCAACCAAGCCCGGGACAGGAAGGCATTCCTACTTTCCCAATAACCGCTCCAGCAAAGGCCGCATGCGTAACCCATCCTGGCGAGAGAACACCCATCTAGGGGCAGGGA